GTATGTGCAGCAAGTACTGCCCAAACAACCTGCACAGCCCACGCCAGGGGCTGCTTCCAGCCCCGAGCACAATCACATAACTGCATCAAACAACAAGAGGCTCTAGCACATCTCTCTGATCTGCTCCATCAGCTAATTACTCTCACTCTTGTACAACGGTCTTATCTATCAGTATCAGAAACACTTGCAGCTCACGAAAGGGTTTTTTGTTTGGTTTTTATCATCTAAAGAGAGCTTGTCTGCACGTGATAAAACACAAACCAGCCTCTCTTCTCCTTTATAACACCCAGCACCCTGCAGCTGCAGCCCCCACCTCAGCGTGCTTTGCCTGAGGAGCTCTGAACTCACATAGGCAAGAGGCAGGAGCAGAGAAGAGGCAGTTCCCTATTTCCCACAGGGGAATGAAGGTACAGATGGAGCCAGCAGCTTGATGGGAATCACAGCAGAGCAGGCAGCAGCTCCACCACAGACTCATGTCCCAGCTCTGCTGACCCACACCAGCCTGAGGGACTGACCCCTGCCAAGGGTCAAACCAGATCAAACTCATCTACACCACGGATGCTTCAGCAAACCACCCTGGGCTTACATTGCTGTAGATGTTCTTCAGGAGAGACAACCCTGTGTTGACTCAGCTGTTGATTTATTTGCTTAAATTTCCTTTTAAGATAAAGGAAATTATACCCACATATTGGTGAGCAAGTAGATTTAGTCTTATCTCAGAAAAGCCAGCTTTGACCTGCACATTATGTGGCCCCAGGCTCAGCCTGCAGGACTCTTGGGCACTGCAGGCACCTGGAGAGGTGCCCTGAAGGGAACTGCTGCTGCAAAGGTTATTTCCCAGTGGCTTTAGCTGCATGTCATGACCCTCCCTTCAACCCAGTCAGCTCAGATGAGATGAGCATTCCTCTGCAGAGGGGACCAGAACCACCACCCTTAGATCCCCTGCACAGTCACAGGAGGGAAACTTTCCACAGAGAACACAGGAAACAATGATTTTTTATTTCTTCAGCCACACTGACAGCAACTGTTTTAGCTTCTTGTGACCTGAATACTGAGCTTGCAGCTCCACAGCAGCAGGGGCAGTGGCTGTGCTTCATCCTGTGCCAGTCAGCAGGGTTTTCCCCTGGGTCCCACTCGCGTGCGTGTTCTGCGCTAAGTGGCTGCTCCTGGCCAGTGTCACAGCCAGGCCACCTGCCCAGACAGCCCTTCTGTTTGCTTACTCCTGGTCCTTGCTCAGGCTCTTACTAAATGAAGATACTCGTGTCCCAGTCCTAATATCAAACTGGGATACCTGCCTGGCACATCCCTCATGTCTTTTGGTGGGTGTATGCCCTCTTTACTATCCTGAACGTTTATTTCTGCTGAGCATCACTGGGAAAGGAATGTTTGCCTTACTAGAAGGGAGAATGAACCCTTAATAACCCTAGACAAGCACTACTAGAAGGGAGTTAAAAGTGGAAAGGGAGGTAATTGGACATATCTCTAATTCAGAGAGACGCTCAGGAACACGATTTAGTTAATGACACAAATCATCCAGCAAAACTTTCCCATCCAAAGCACTTGAGCACACTCTGGAATTCCCTCTTCAGTGGTACTTACACATGCAGAGGCCTCCCCAGTTCCTCTGGGGGTTGTGCAGTGTCAGCAGTACTGGGAAAGTCCCGGGAATGGGAGCAAAAGCATTTTCTTTTGCAGGGACCCAATAAAAGTTGTCATGTGGTTAAACAATTCCTGGCACTGCCCACACCACAGAGCCCAGGTCTAAGGCAGGTGTAGTAAAACAGACTGTGTGAATCAGTAATGAAACCAGCTCAAAGTTCAGGGGCCAGAAGAAGCGATACTCTACCATGCACAGATCTCCCTGACTCACACCTTCAGCCTGCCTCTGTTTCCTCACTGCTCAGGGAACAAGGCTTGGACTGTGAGTATCAAGGTGCACTCCTGGTAATAAAGGTACTAAACCCAGAAATCCAATCAAAAGCAGTCGACAAAGTGAGGCAGCATCATGCCATTGGGTGAGGGAGCTGTCCCCAGGGACAAACAGCAGCCACGGACCAAGTGCCACCACCAATGTCAAAGGTCAGCCCCCATCTGCCCCCAGCTTGGCTCCTGCCGCCCCTTCCTGCTCCCCATCAGCACCGGCCTGGACCAAAGCCTTGCAGGCTCCAACAGGACTCCAGTTTGCAACTCCTAATCTGATAAATCCCAACCAGCAATGGTGCACGTGCTGCTGTGATGACTGTGAGCTTCAAACAGCTGCATGGGTTATTGAGCCTCCCAAATTACACAACAATTATGGATGCTTACGTTAAAATTACCTTGCAATCTCTGGATTGCCTGGCAACACTTTCCCTTCAGCATGCACAAACGGTGCACTTTTCCTCTTAATTATGTAATAATTGCCATGCATTTACCCAGCAGTTCAGAGAGAACACCATTTTTAACTCCCATTCCCTAATAAAATAAGTGGTTACTCAATTGCCCAAAATAAAGCATCCTATTGTTCCTGTTGCTGGGCATCCTATAATTTATTGCTGAGTTTCACTCCCTCTGCCTCAGACTATCAACATTTCATTTTTTTTCCCCCTCCATCTTCTAAACTCAAAGTTTCCTCTGAGCAGGAACTGTTCCAGCAGCATCCAGCATAGCAGAGCTTGGATCTCCCAGCTGAGGCACACAGGCTCTGCTACAATATGAATGCTAATGAGAATATAAAAAGCTGCTTCTTTGCCCTTCAAACTCTACTCAAAGACAGTCTTGAGCTTCCCATTCATATCTACACTTCAACCAACTTTCTGGAGTGATCCGACTGATTTTGGCAGCACCTGGAAGGTTCTGGACTGTCAGACTTGTAAACACTGATTTTATTCCTGCTGGTTTTAGACAAAAAATGAGGTGGTGTTGCATTTCAGTGTGGAAATGGACTGGGGCACTGAAAATCACCTTCCTCTGCCTCAGCAAGGCCCATCCCATTCAGAGACTTGTTCTCTCTGGGTGGTTGAAGCCAGATGAATAATTTCTCCTGGGTTAAACTGGCTGCCTGATTATTTTGTTTGCTAGCCCTTAGTCCTTGTGTTTTTTAGAGACAGAGAAGATTTATTCCCTGTTTATCACTTCTCTCGCATTTAGGATTTTATATCAGCCTCTGTAATATCACCCCTTGCCATGATAATTTTCCATTCTGAAGAGCTTTGCTCTTATCTCTGTACATAACATGTTCCATGACCATCCTGATCACCCCTCCTGGCCCTTTTTCAGTTGTAGAGAGCTGTTCCTAAGACAGGCTGAGCCGAGCTGCACAAAATATTCAGGATACTCCTTGCCTGTACCTAAGAGCTCTTCAAGATCCAAATAACTGTATAACGACAATTTCTCTTTTCTTCTCTATTTCCTTCCCAATAATTCCCCAAATCTTGTTATCTTTGTTGAATGTCACTAAGTAATGGGCTGGCATTTTCAAGAGAACTATCCAGAATAAAGTCTGAGTGAGAACAGATAATTTAGAGCCCATCACGTTGTATGTATTTTTAGTGTTGTTTCTCCCCCTCATGCATTACCCTGCAGTCAGTAACATGAATTTTCATCTGTCATTTTATCATGCTTGCTATAATGGCATTTTCCTGCCAGTCTTTGCAGTCAGTTCTAACAACAACTGCCCTGTCATCACCAACCTCTTACTGTCCTCTACCCTTCTTCTGGTCATTTAGAAATACATTGAACAACTCAGCCCCCGCTATAGATTTCTCTTTAACTGCATGTACGACTTTTCTCCACTGTGAAAGCTGTATTACAACTTTCCTGATTGTCTGGTTATTAATTCACAAAAGCCCATCCAACCAAAGAGGTTCAGGAGCTTCTGTATGAGCTACTGTTAAGGGATCTAATCAAAAGCTGTTTGGCAATCGAAGCACAGTGCAATAACAGGATCAGCTTATCTACATATCTGCTGACTCCTCTCAAAACCAAACAGATCTGCGAGGTGTGAATTGCCTCTGGAAAAGCTGTAGTGCCTCTTCCTCCCCATACTGACCGTGGGCAATTCTTCAGTGCCTCAGTGTGCAGAGAAAACAGCTGGGGGTGAAGTGAGATCACTGAACTCTACAGAAGGCTGTCTGCAAGGAGAACATCAGGATCAAACAGGCACAGAGCCAAACTCAGCTCACCACTAGCTTGAGATACAGAAGTAGTAACTGCCAGCCATCACTGCTCACAGGATGCCAGCACAGCCCACTCCACCTCGTGCCTTCAGCTCAGCGACACCTCTTCTCCCATCCCTGCCAGGTTCAGGCCAGAAGGGCCATGTCAACTGTAATGGGGCCAGAAAAACCCCTGCTGTCATCTACAGGCCCACTGTGGCCTCCTGGTCCTCCGCAGAACAGGCACTCAGCAGTGAATCTGGCCTCAGCCACAGTGGGAGAGGGTGTCACTAAGACAGGTGACAATAACCCAGTAGGCTGCAAAGAGGAACCCTGCTGCTGGAGTCCCTGGGCAGAGCCTGGGAACTCACTTGAGTCACCACCTCCCTGGGAGGGCACAGCAGTGCTGGGCTCTCATCACCCCACAGCCCTGTGAGTGAGGAGTCATTCAGATGGATTCTGCAAAGGGAGTGGCCAAGGACACCCTCCCAGTGCCACTTGCCAGCTCTCCCCATGGCCACTGCTTGCCCTGCTAACTCCAAAAGAAGAAATATATTCCAGCTGAAGTTGACTGACTCAGTCCACATCACTGCAAACACCCATTTTCTGGCTCTGCTATTGCCCTCAGAGAGAGACACGTGGAAGAAAAAAGGCAGCCACTTTTTTCCCTATGTCCTTTCTAAGGGATCTGTGACACTGCCTGAGCTGAGCGGGGCCACCTCAAACTGCAAACCCCATCACAAGCAAACAGAGGGGGCCTCACTGGCTCATCTCAGAGCCCACCAGAGTCGAGATGCTCCCCCCCAGCTGCACAGGGGGCCAAGGCACGTGCTCTGCAGGGCACTGTCAGTGCTGGGTACTCACAGTACTCGATGCCCAGGACGATGTCTCGGAAGTAAAGCCGAGCCTGCTCCTCACTGAAAGGCTGCTCACTGGGGACCTCCATGACAGGCCTGTTGGGAAGAGGAGGGAGAGCAACTCAGTGCTTTGCAGAATGGCAGTGTCACCCCTTGCAGGAGGAGAATGTTCTCCATCACCCTGTCCCAGCCTGGAGGGCCCGGTTCCCAAGAGGTTCTGGGTGCTGTGACACAGGATGGAGGTGTGCCCACCCTTTCTGGAAGCGGTGACACCTTGATTAGGGAGCTTGGCTAGCAGTCCTGGGTGGCTTTGCATAGTCCATGAGACAGCACGAGCCACAGAGCCCTCCTCATCATCAGGATTAACTGCTGATGTCTGCACAAAATCAGGCAAACACTATTCACTGAGAGTCCTAAAGGGAAAAGAACAAAATTGGACCTGGTCTTCGGTTTCCTGCTCCTGGCTGTGAGCTCCAGCATCACCAGGAGGTCCCAGGCAGCAGTGGGGACAGTGCCAGTGCCCATGGTGTGCACTGGATGTCACGTGCTGGGGCTCAGTCCTGAAGCATCATCAGCACGCAGCTGGCCTACACCAAGCAGAAACCGGACAGGAACCACTGGCTCAAAGGTGAAGTGGGAATATTTGCAGTGTGTTGTGCTAAACTGCTTTGAGAACCTATTTAGCTGTTGAGGGTTCAGCCACCACCAGAACTCAGCCACTCAGCCCTGAACAGCCAAGGTTACCTGGTCAGCTCCTCCTCTCCTGTCCTTTGTGTGCCGCCACTGCTGAGGGATGCACAGGCTCCTCTAAAAGCCCCTCTTCTGCCTGTGCCTGCTGAAAGCTGAGGGCAAAGAGGCTGTAAGAGCTAGTCAGAATCTTCTGTTCCCCAGAGGATAAATGGCAGGAGCTAAGGACTTCGCTGCACTGGGGGTTAATCCTGCTTGTGCTCAGCAGATTGACCTTGCATTTGGATGCACGCCCGCTGACTCGAGCTGGATTGAAGTGAGTGCTCCTGAGACACTGTCCTGGCAAGCCAAACCCTGGCAGGGAACAGCCTGTTACCAAAAACCAGGCTCTGCAGCTCTTCTCCTCAGCACCCCGCAGCAGATCCGTCCTGCAGCACTTTTTATTTCTCCCTTGCTGCCCATTTGATTGATGACCCTCATCTCCCATTTGCATTTTCCTGCCACTGCCTTCCCTCCCTGTTCAAACACATTTTCCTGTTGCTGAAACCAGGGAGAAATGATGTGAGTGCAGGACTGGCAGAGCCACTAATGGAGTCTAATTGCCTTCTGCTGGAGGCAGCCAGGCTGCTCTCGGCCGAGCCACACGTTCCCTGGACACAGTTGTTTACAGGAGCTCCCTCTCCTACAGGATGGGCATCACCAGGGAGACTGGGGAGCCTCTCACCAGCAACCCACTGGAGCTGGCAGCCTGCAACCTCAGTCATGGGGATAGAGAGAAAAACAAGCCCTTTGGGAATCTCCCTCATCCTGGGGCACAGCTCTCCTGACCTCGCTGTGACTCTGCAGAGCTGCAGAATCAGTGCAGGTGCAGCAAAAAGCAGTGAGGGGCCTCCCATCACTTTATCACTTCTCCTGCTATGGAAAAATGTGTCAACAGCCTCCCATGATAGGTTAGTGCTGGGGGCAAAATAAGGTAGTGGATGGCAAGTAAATCTCGATGCAACCACACACCCCTCGTGCCAGAGGAAGCCCCAGTAGAGTATTCCCATTAAAACCTTTCCTTCCAGGCACCTGACAGGGGAATTGGCATCAAACTTGTTTTCTGAATCAGAGCCTGACACCAGGACATGTCCTCCCAGTCCATTTTTATTCATCACATCATTGCAGGCTGTAGCAGAGCAAAGGCAACTACAGCTGGGTTTTGCTTCCCCTGGGCCTGCAGACAGAGGTTTGCCCCACTGGATGCATCAAACCTCCATTTCACCTGGGAAGCTAATGATGAACACCAAAAATTTCAACCAAAAGGATCCCAGGAGGGCTACTTACCCTTTCCTCATGAGGTCAAACACTGCAAGAAAAGGAAATAAACCATGAATGAAGAAGAGCAGACTGGGCTTATTCGTTATTCATCACCTACAAAAACACATCCATTCCTATATCTACAAAATCAATTTACCTCCACTCATTTCTCTTCCCTTACCCATGACAAGGACACCAGAGGATGCAAAATGAAAACATTCATCTCTTCAGCACAGACAAATCTCCCCCCTCCTGCCAGCTCTGCACGGAGAGACAGCGGGGGCTAATTTATCAACCCCGCTGCTGCTGCTGCTCCCGGTGTCAGCCCTCGCTGATTTGAGCTCCGTTGCATTCAGTACCTTCAGGGAGGATGTTTGGTGTGATATTTCTGCTAAATTACTGATACTGAACAAGATGCTGTAAGAACATGTTGCTCCATTTCTGCTGTGTCAATCAGCAGCACAGCTACAGGTCTGGCAGAGGCAAACACTCCCCGGCAGGAGCAACTGGAGAGGATTTGTTGGTGTGAGCTGAGTGAGGTTTGCAGAGCACATGAGTTTGTGTGTCTGTTTAGGGGGTTAGTGGCAATGTGGTTTTCTGATCCTGCTCTGACCTGTTGTGTAAACAGGAGAAGGATCTGCCTTTATTCTAGAGCAGGAGAGCTCTTTCCTCATGAGTTACAAAGGGTTTTCTTGCATCTCCCAAGAAATAAGAGCAGATCCCCTCCCCAAAGCACCAGGCAGCCCTGTGGTGGGGTGTTAAGTCCTCTGAAGGCACAAACACAACTGGGCAGCCTGCACTGGCTCATCTTGCCCTCCAGGCTGAAGAAGCTGAGGGTCGTGGCAGCATTTCATTATTCAACCATCCATTGTAGGTTCTCCCTCCATCCCAGATTCCTTCCCCATGCTCAAGCAGCCAAGCACTCACAGGAGTATTCGATGCCGGCAATCATTAACAAAGAGCAAACACCACTTCCTCTAGATCTGCCTTGCAGTGGGAGGGCATTTTTGGAAGGAGAAAGGTGCAGTTGTCATCAGCTGGGTCAGCAGCAGGAGGCAGGAAGCCTCTTGCAGGAGTCTCAGTCCTGAGCAGTGCTGAGCACCCACAGCTTCCCCTTCTGCTGAGGGACTGCAGAGGCAGCAGCTTGATTTGCCTGAACCCCTCACAGGATCAAGGCAGAGGACCCCCAAGAGATTCCCCACCTGTCCTGCTGCCATTGCTGGGACTGTTCTCTGGCTCCTCAGGGAGAGCTTGGGTTTGGTTTGGGCCCTGGTTATGTGCCACTTGCAGCACTAGGTCTAAGCCCAGATGGTTCTGTGAGTTTATGAGAATCACATACCCATGTACAAGTTGTCCTCTGCAGGATCATCAAGGACCTGTAATCGATAACAGGGAAATAAGGGGGAAGGAGAAAAAGAAAAACAGCAGGAAAAATGAGAGATATTTAATGGAGTAACATTTTACTGCTCCCTGTACACTGTGCACTGCAGAGCACTGAGAACAACTTAGACCAATGTTTAGAGAGTCCTGCAGAGAGAGAGGCATTGAAGGACACAGATTTTCCTGCCTCCAGAAAAATCTGGGCTTCTGCCTGGAGAAACAGCCTACCAATAAAGGCATTGCTTGTCCTAACCTGACCTCAGTCAACAACGAAAAAGGCACCAAAAGCTTGCACTTGTGCACCTTCCCAGGCTTGTCTGCACACACGTTTCAGTGATCAAAGCTCGCTGCTGTTTCTAACAGCAGAGAGAGCTGCCTTCTCTTGGGCACCAGCCCACAGCCCAGGGTAAGTGTGTCAGTTTGTCCTTCATAACTGGTACGATCCTGCTTGGAATCACCAGCCTGAACTTCTGAACAACTATATTAAACCAATTTTGGCTGCAGAAGGGGCAGCTGAAGAAAGATCCTCGTGTTGCAACACAAACCAGACTCGTTTCAGCGTAGCTCAGGGTGGAGGAGCTGCTCACCTCTATCAGCTTCACGATGTTGATGTGGTCCAGCTTCTTTAGGATGGCTATTTCCTGATAGACTCTGTCCAGTGGTGCCATGGGCTTGGGCTGCTCTCCAGAGGATGCTTTCGAGCCTCTGGGAGGAGGCCGACCTGCAAGTGTGACAACAGAGTGAAGAACCCTTCCCAGGATGGGCAGCCACTGGCCCCTCTGCAGACACCTCCAGCTGTTCTGCCACATCTCATCCCCTTGCTCTCACCCCAAAGCATTACAGTCTCCCACCTGGAACTGAGATTTCCAAGCCTCATTCAGATCAGCTCCTCCCAGCCTGGTTTGGGGGTCCCATGGCCCAGCCAGGTGCTATTCCAGGGGGTAGAAGAGCCTCTGGAAGAAGGGGGACTACCCTGCCTAACTTCCAGCACTTAATCAGGCTTCATAGATGGGGAGCATGGGAAGAGTCATCACTTCAAAGAGACTCACAAAAATCAGAGCCAGGACTCTGAGTGTATTGAACCTGCCCCTTCACTGCACAAATGGCATTTTAACCAGCCCCAAACTACATGGGCAGCTTTCAGGTGAGGCCAAGTTCTGCAGTCCTTGCACACAACGTTTCTGCAGAGAGATTTTCCTGGCTGAGAACAGCAGGCAGACCTCCAAATGTGAGATACCCACGTGGAAATCCGTACTGCTTCAGAAGCTTCTTTTTGGAGAGGACTTTCATAGCCTGAAGGAAGAAGAAAAAGCAGTGTTAAAACTGACCAAGAGCCAAAGAGCACATTGCTGAGTGCTGGGAGTGTGCTGGGCATCAGGGACTGGCTCAGGTCTGCTCCTCAGCTTAGAGAAGATGTTGTCCTGGTTAGTGGTGGTCATGACAGACAGATAGTGACCCAGGCTCTCCTAAAAGCACTGCTAACCATTTTTTTCATTCATTTTTTTCCCCCATAAAAACTTAGGTGGTTTTGATTTATTTTCAACTGGACAAAGAAAAAGGAGCCAAATTTCTGCCTTTGGGGCAGGAGCTTGAGGGAAGAGGTGGGTTCCTCCAGCTGACCTTCATGTACCTGCTGCTTTGGATGAGGTTACAGCCATGCTGCAAGTCAGAGCCACTTCAAGGCTGCTCCACCTTGTGTTTTGCTTTGCCAGGGGGTCTAGGAAGCAAAAGAGCTGGAGGCTGTGACACCCTTGGAATCTCCATCACAGACCTGGAACAGGGCGAGGACACAGCCTGCCTGGGGAGGCCCTTTGCATTCCCAGTGGGTATTTTTGCCCCATAAACCCCTTCCCACAGTTCCAGAGTGACACAGAGCAGCTGCAGTGGGATCCAGCACCGTGCCACAGTCCATGAACAAGACACTTGGTGAGCATCCATCCCTGCACCCTCAGACAGCGAGGACAGCCCTGGTGAAGGCACAGGGAGGGAAAGAGGATTCTGCCAAAGGCCTCCCTCCCTTATCATACCCCATCACAGGCTGGCACTGCTGTGAACCCGGGCAGCTGAGGCGTGGGAGGGGGTCAGGGTAACCTTTTCTGCCGTCCAGTTGGCATCAGCACAGTGGCAAAAGGCAATCTGAATTTAATAAACAGTCTCTGTGCCTCCATCTGCTCCCTGCATTAATAACCTTTTTGGAGGGCCACTCAAACAGCCCTGAGTGGCCCAGCAGATAAATATTTCATGAGGAAGCAGCTCATGGAACCATTTGCTTAGGAAAGCAGCCTACGCTTACAGAAGCTGGGATGGCCACTCACTCCTTCCCCTAGAACGAGCAGTTACTCCCACTAATTAAGCCTCCAGATCTGTAACTCACACTGGAGTGATCCTAGCAAAATACAATTAACCAGCAGGACACAGTCAAATGCCAAGGAATTTTGCATTAATACCACAGAGGCAGGCTCAGTGCACTCTACCTGCTTTAACACCTACACCAGGGACAGGTCTCTGAAACCATTTCAGGGAGCTCCTTTCCGAGCTGTTTTTCCTGGCAGCGATGCCACCACATGCCCTGGGATCCCCACCTCCCACCAGTGCTCCCGCTGCAGCCAGGTTCATGGCTGGCTGGAAGGATTGTTGTTTTTGGTAGTGATCCAGTGAAATCCTCTGGATTTGCACCCGTGTAACTGAGAAGAGACACTGTGTGGTTCTCAATCCTGCCTGACAGATCCAAGCCAACTGTTGGGAATGGTGGTGTTGAGAGACAGACTCAGAAGTGCTTATCTTTTACTTAGCACAGCACTGTGTCCAACCCAGAGCCAAATGATTCATGGTCTGCTGAAAGAGGATCCAAGATGTGCTCAGCCACCTCCAAATATGGCCAGGACCAAGCCTGGAGGCCTTCCTACCCTCCCCACTTTTATCTCTCCATAATGAAAATTTATGAGAAAAATCAAAGGAATTGATACATCCATTTCTCTTTCAACTATTGCCAGCGCAGGAGGAGAAGGCTCTCCTTGCTCCAGTTCCATCTCGAGTCCTCCCTGCCTTCCAGCAAGGAGCTTTAGGATGAAGAAAAAACAAAAGAAGATGTGATTTACTGCTGAAAGCTCCCAAGTTGCATCAGTGCCTGGGGGACTCAGCCTGAGGAACTGAACCACTGACACCAGCTATGCCCACATCAGCTTAGTCCTTCCCAGGACAGGCTCTGGGGGAGGCTGGAAGGAGCAGGAAGGTACAGAGAGGAGCAATAGCCAAGACAAGAATTGCTCTCAGGGGCAGAAATGGAGGGAACAAGAGCTCCTGGTGTCACCCAAATTCCTTGAAGGATGATGGGAGATGGGGGGTTACTGTATTGTAGGTGAGCTGACTGTAAAGCACCACTTACTGCTGGAGAAGAAGCACCAGGACACGCTTACACCAGTTTCAAAGCACCAGGACCTGCTACTGCACAAGCAGGGCTGTGTCACCAGACAGGACCTGTCCCACTGCACTTACAAACTCAAAGCGGGGACAAAAAGCAAAGTTTATCATGCAACAGGCCAGAGCCACTTAATTACCACAAGAGCAGAGAGGAGAGCACGGGGCTGTGAAGGCTCAGTCTAATTGCAGGGAGCTGGCAGGCCCAGGATTCCTCCTGAAGGCGGCTGTGTGTGACAGGAGCCACTCAGGGATGCTCCAGGAATTCTCTCCTTCCGGGCTCACACGCACCACAGAGCCAAAGACATTTGTACTCCCAGGCAGAGCTAATTACCCAGATAATGCCTCTCTGATAAAGAACCAGCTGAGAGCCAAGCTGAGGGATATTCCCTTTGCGCAGGCAAGCCTTGCTTCAGCCTCCTCAGGAAAAGAGGGAGCCTGGAGATTTCCTCCACACAGGCCCTTGTAACATCTTCCTTCCGACTATTCACACATGAGCATGAGCCTTGACATTTCCCTCTGAGAGGCAGCAGGGACTGTGTACTTTTCTTTGATGTTTGTTTGTTATCTTAAAAGTTTACTGCTCACCTCCTATCAACCTTACAGCTGGAAACCACGGGGAAGCTGCCTGAGGGAAAGGAGATCCCAGGTTTATGGAGAGAAGGGATGCCTGGCATACAGCAGCTTTCACAACAGTGAGACCACAAGCTGCTGGTGATGACAACCAGAAAATGGCCATTAGTTTTGGGAGGGAAGGGTGACAACGTGATTGAGCCAAGGGAACTTCCCACCTGTCCTTTGTGGTCCTCTCACAGCGCTTAGGATGTCGTTTAATTTGCTGACAGAGAGACCTGCACTGCAAGGGCAGAAACCCTGGGCACAGTCCCTGCCTGCAGCTCCCAAGGGAGCGGGATGATATTCAAAGGTTGCTGTTACCACCTAAATCCTCTGCTATGGCATGAGGGCACACTCTGGGAATGCTGAACAGAACAGAGAGCATTCCCAACCCTTCCTCACAATGACATCCCTCAGATAAAGTAGCTGAGAGGGAAGCTCTGCTGGGAGAGAGGAGTGTTATGAACTGAAAGAAAACCCTGAACCAGACAGGCTGAGCTGCCATGGCCCTAAAATCCTGCTCCTGAATTTGTCACCTTCCTCCCCAAGAGCAGCAGAATTCCATCCATACTGTGCCACCACAGCAGGGATGGCCTCCTGGAGTGGCCATGCCTCCAGCTGTCTCCCAGAGGATCCTGCTCTTACTCCAGGTGGCCCAGCCCCTCTCACAGCCCCAGAGCTGAACAACACGGGGTGTTGGACAAGCCAGAGATCCCTTTCCCGGTCCTCAGCACTCCGGAGCACAGCTGGCAGTGGTTCAGCTGCTGTTATGTGAGCAAGAGGATGGGAAACACAGGAGCTGTGCCTTCCCTTCCCACCTGGATGGCGACCAAAGTGGATTCTCCACGGGCTAGAAAGTTCAAGACTCGCTGCTGGCACCTTCCCCTCAGCAGGACTTTGTTCAGCCATTGCTTGCATAAACTTGGAAGGAATTTCTCCCCATCACTGGGACTTGGTAGGAAACAGCCCTCCATGCATAGGTACAAACAGAGAGCACAGACACACAAATCTTGTTTCTTAGGAAACCAGATTTAAAGAGGATAAAAAAAAAAAAAAAAAGAAGAAACCCCACTGACAACCTACAATGGCTTATTCCTGCAGTAGCATAACAAATGTCCATCATAACCACTTCTCTTTGCAAGCTGATTTAGAGATTGAAAATTGCAGGGAGACATGACCCGAGGCATCACAGAAGCAAATTCCATCAGCACAATGACTCCAAACTAGATCTCTGCCTGGACACATCTGCCTTTGCTTTTTATTTGCTGCTTTTTCCCAGAGCTCGGCTTCTCCTTTTTTTCCCCTCCTAGTCACCCTCAAAGCATCTCCTGCAAACTGAGACACACTGAAACCTTTCCAGGGTAAAGGGTTCCTTGGCAGAGCCCCACCAGTGCTGCTGGAACAGCTTCATGTGCCCCAGGAGCAGCAGGGTCCCCTGCTCTGGGAGCCAGCTCGGCATTCCGGTGGGGTCTCCTCCTTGGAGGGAGCACAGGGTCACGTACTTGGTGCTGAAAGTTCCATTTCCTTGGTCTGACACATCCCCTGCATTCACTGATGTGAGCCAGGACACTTTTACAGCCCTCCCTGGCACTGGGGATGTTCACAGCAACGAAGGGTAAAGCTCTTAGAAGCACTCTCTCATCTTTAATGGAAGGGGGAAAACCCACAAAGTAAACATGACCCATCTACATTTTTCCCAAATGTAGTGACTGGATATTTTCTTGAGAGTTTTTCCTAATTCTAGGCCAGATCCAAAACTCATTAAAGCAGCAACAATCTTTCCTTTTGCTTCAGAAGGAGCCAGATTGAGTCCCTGGTACCTATAAACTCTGCCTTTTTGTAGAGACCTACCAAAGGGCCCCCACATCTCAGCAAGAATCAGGAGCCACACTCTGAATTACATGCCAAAATAAAGTTTTTTCTGCTTTCTTTACCATTTTGCTTCTTTTTATTGCAGCACACCAGCTTAAAGACAATAAAGCAGGCAGCAACACCCTGGCCTCAAGCTAAACCACTGCAAACAGAAATCAGTCACAGAATCATCAGATCATAGAATGGTTTGGGACCTTAAAGGAACCTTAAAGATCATGTAGATCCAACCCCCTGCCATGGACAGGGACACCTTCCACTAGACCAGGGTGCTCCAAGCCCTGTCCAACCTGGCCTTTCTCACCTAAAGACCAACCAAGCGTTGATTTCCTCCCATGGTGCTTTTCACAACTGAGACAAAAAAACGCTGTTCCAGAGCTAAATTTAGGGGGTAAAAAGCCCAGACAGAAAAGGTCCTCTCCAACTATTAGAATCAAAATTGCTTCTGCCAGCTGCTGGTGCCAGGCAGGTCCATCAGGTACCCCCTGGGGGGTCGGGGTGCACTGCTGTGGAGCAGCTCTGCAGGGCAAGGATAAGCAGAGCAGGATGGAAATTGTCTGAGCTCTGGGAGAGCACGAGGGTCAGGCACATCGGGCAGCCTGGGGAGCTCAGCAACCATTAGCCAAGTTATGCAACTGGTACTGTTTCTCTGAAGCTCTGAGAAGTCTGCCAGCTCCTGAGCTGGTTTAATGCCTCGGGAGAGGCGGAGGTGTCTCCATCACAGCTCACATTCCCAGAGAACACAGGCACGGGGCACCTGGGAGGATGAGGGGGGCCAGGCTGTCTGCATGTGACTGCAGCTGGGAAAGGGGGAAAGGTCCCACTGGCCCAGATGAAAGGGTAGCAAGTACATGAGACACAGACTTCAGCCTCTTAGCAGCAGTGCAGCCCCTCTCCCACATGCTGACACCCACTGCAACCAAAAACAGGCAGACATCTCTCCATCTGCTGGAGAATTCCATACACCTCCCAGGATCACCTTCACAGCCAGCTGGGATCTGGTTCAGACCCTGCCTCAAGCCCCCAAAGGGAAGATCAGGGCAAACCAAAGAGCACATCCCTGCAGTGCTGGCAGGAAGGGGGTCTGCAATGCCCTGCCCTGCTTTGGGTAGTGAGGCTGAAACACCGCCCAGGCACGGGAGCCCCTCCCGGGCTGCAGTACCTTTAAAGTGTTTGCTCAGATTAAAAACACAGATTAAGTGGGGATTAACTAACACACACCAGGCTACCCTGGCCACAGGCTTTCACTTCTGGCTTGGATTTGACCAGCTAAATCTACATCCACGGCGTTAATCTGCATCCAAAACGCGGACAGCAGCGCAGCAGGCAATGCTGTCCCAACCCCAGCTCTCCCCTGCCGAGCTGTGCCAGCTGCCCTGCCCGCCCTGGGCAGCCCACAGGGACAGCAACGGGATTCCCAGATCAAAAGGGCAGTGCCAAAATGCAAGGATTACAATTTTAGAAGCAAAAATATTTTCAGCTGTAAATCACTGTGATTTATTGATGCGATGCATCCCCACCCTGTGCTGCTGGTCCTGGTGGGACAGATGGGTCAGGGAAACCATGGCTGGCACCATCACTCCCTGAAGAACAAATCATCCTGCTGCAGGGCAGAGGAAGGAGGATTTGGAGGGCAGGAGAGACAGGGAGCCATTGGAAACACCAACCGCTCCGGTGCAGTGGTGACTCAGCTTGGAAAGGACAGGAGATGGAAAGAATTGTGGTTCCTCTGCTTGGCCAGCTCCAGGGCACCTTCTCCAGATTTTTCTCTCAACAGTTCCATCCCTTATTTCAAGACATTCCTCCTGTAATTTCATGCCTGCTGGGAGCACAGAAGGGCTAAGGAATACCCACAGGCATATAATTCCACCTGACCTCTTTGACCTGGGATGTCACTTGTAAATCCAAGAGTCGGGGAGGAAAACCCACTGGGGAATAGTGGGGAATGAGGATGCTTTACAATCCACAGCATATCCTTATTCCCCTTTGTACAAAAGCCAGCAGGGACAGGGAACAGCACGTGAATCTGCCTGGGTGCCCTGATGGGCCACATTGGAAAATTCACCCACGAGGCCACTCC